CCCACACACAGAGTGGACAAAGAAGGGCAGCTTGGACATTGGATACTCAAATGGGAAGGGGGGGACTACCAAGGCAAGAAGTGACTGACTTACAAAAGCTTTCAAGATGGAACCTGGTGCTAGGGAGCAGGGCGGAAGGCAGAATCTCCAGTAGGTACTATTCACTCTGTCTGGGCGGAGCTGATGAAAGGAGATACAGATGGGTAATTCGTGATACTGTAGGGAATAATACTTATCAGGACGGATTATGAGGGTTGGAAAAGCAAAGGTGGAAGTTTTGTAACAAGGAAGGGAGTGATTAATTCTCCAGGACAGGAGCGAAGGCCTCTGGGACTATCAATGGAGAAGAGCCGAGAGCAGGACCCTACCCAGAGAAACAGAGATGCCTGAGATAGAGACAGAGATGAGGACATGGAGTGATGAAGCCACTGGGGACTTTGGACCCAGAGAGGGAAAGGGACTGTGGGCCAAAAACTGGGGGGAGGAGGAGGAGGAAGTGTAGGGGGCGGGTTTCTGGGATATACCCTTTGGGTGGTTGATGATGCATGGAGGGGATTGGAACGATGGCAATGAGATGATATAAGATGGAATGAATGTAAAACTAAAGTTCTCCCATGTAAACTATCATATAATTCACAATGAAACATTTTTAAAAATTAAAAAACAAAAAAAAATTTATGTACAAATATTTGTAGACATGGAGTCCTGGTGTGGCCTTGTAGATTAAGTACTGGACTTTTAACCACAAGGTTGGTAATTCAAACCCACCAGTCACTGTTGGGAAACCCTATATAGGGTCATTATGAGTTGGGGCCAACTCAATAATAATTAGCAGTAATAACAACAATTTGTAGCCATATGTTTTGATTTTTCTTCAATGAATGGCTGAAAATGGAATTACTGACATATGGTAATTCTGTGTATAATCATTTGAGGAACAGCCAGACTGCTTCCAATATGGCTTACCATTTTACATTCCCACCAGCACTGTATCAAGTTTCCACTACCTAACAATTTTATCAAGACTTTTTATGATCTCACTGTTTGATTATAGCCATCCAAGTGTGTGAACTGGTCTCTTCTTATGTCTCTGATTTGCATTTTCTTGATGATTAATACGGTTGAGCTTATTTTCATGTGTTGGCCATTCGTTTCTCTTCTTTTGAGAAATGTCTATTCAGATTCTTGATCATTATTTAACTGGATGAAAAAATGTTTTATTAAAGAGTTATAAGTGTTCTTAGACATTTTAGATATAAGACTTTTATCAGATATAATATTTGCAAATATTTTCTTCTATTCCATAGGTTATTTTTATTTTCTTGATGGTGACCTTTGAAGGTCAGTTTTTTTAAAAATGAGATCCAATTTATCTATTTTATTCTTTAATTACTAAAAATGCTTTTGGTCAGAGCTAAAAACAGTTGCCTGACCCAGGTCATGAAGATTATATATATTTTCTTTTAAGAAATTATAAGTTTCTTCTAAGAAATTAGCAAAGAAAAATGTTAGTTCTAACATTAGGTCATAAATTTGAATCAACTTGTGTATATGATGTGAGCTATAGGTCTAACTTCACTCAATTGTATGTGGATATCCAGTTATCTCAGCACCATTTGTTGACAAATGCATGGTTTTCCATGTGGACTTGGAATTCTCGCTGAAAATCAGTTGACTGTTCAAACTGGAGGTTTATTTCTGGACACTCAGTTTTATTCTGAGCCTTGGGGGTACAGTGACTAAGCCCTCAACTGATAATCAAAAAGGTCATAGGTTGAAATCCATCATCACTTCATAGGAAAAAGATGTGTCAATGTGCTTTCTTAAAGATTCTTGTTGTTGTT